TCGAAGCTGAGAAAGACTTGGGAAGCAAGGAAGGAAGGAAGGAAGGAAGGAAGGAAGGAAGGAAGGAAGGAAGGAAGGAAGGAAGGAAGGAAGGAAGGAAGGAAGGAAGGAAGGAAGGAAGAAAGGAAGGAAAGAAGGAAGGAAGGAAGGAAGGAAGGAAGGAAGGAAGGAAGGAAGGAAGGAAGGAAGTCATTATTGCTTAATGCCACATACTGGCTTCATTCCCCGGTATTTCTGAGCTTTGGCTTGTTTAGCAGTTCAGGACTTGATAAGGAATCCAGGACGTGACAAGGAGTCCAGGACTTGACAAGGAGTCTAGGACTTGATAAGGAGTCTAGGACTTGATAAGGAGTCCAGGACTTGATAAGGAGTCCAGGACTTGATAAGGAGTCCAGGACTTGATAAGGAGTCCAGGACTTGATAAGGAGCCCAGGACTTGATAAGGAGTCCAGGACTTGATAAGGAGTCCAGGACATGATAAGGAGTCCAGGACTTGACTGAAACGTATTCACAATCATCTCACTCAGGTGTTATGGGTTACTTGACTTCAGTCGTATTACTGTAACTTATAGTCTCTGTACAGGAATACAAGCATATGAAGCCCATTTGGAACCGTGAAACTATAAGAATACAAGAAAATGAAGCCAAATTTGAGATGATGAACCAATTTGTAGACAATATTTTCTTACTGCCAATGACATAAATCACTAACCTGCATCTCCCATTAATAATGAAGATGTTACCTATAACTTTGTGATATTAAGATGAATAACAATATTGAATTCATTTTGGATCAAATCAGAAACAAAAGAGTATTATTTCAGCAATATTATTTAGATTCAGAGTCTAGGTTTAGTATATATATTTGATGATAAATTAATCAGGTTCAGCTGGAAGACGGTAGCTACCAGCTGTGGAGGAGCAGATGGTGCTGAAGGGCTACACCAGGCAGCAGGTGGTGCTGTTGGATTCTACGAAAAAGATGGTTTTATCAGGCTACCAGCAGCAGGTTGGTAGAAGGACAGCAGGCTATCCTTCAGGGGCTACACAAACCCAGGTAGTCCTAAAGACATACACAAATCACGTTATCCTACAGGACTATACACAAACACTGTGGTCCTACAGGACTATACACAAACACTGGTCCTACAGGACAATACACAAACACTGTGGTCCTACAGGACTATACACAAACACTGGTCCTACAGGACTATACACAAACACTGTGGTCCTACAGGACTATACACAAACACTGTGGTCCTACAGGACTATACACAAACTCTGTGGTCCTACAGGACTATACACAAACTCTGTGGTCCTACAGGACTATACACAAACACTGGGGTCCTATAGGACTATACACAAACACTGTGGTCCTACAGGACTATACACAAACACTGTGGTCCTACAGGACTATACACAAACACTGTGGTCCTACAGGACTATACACAAACACTGTGGTCCTACAGGACTATACACAAACACTGTGGTCCTACAGGACTATACACAAACACTGTGGTCCTACAGGACTATACACAAACACTGTGGTCCTACAGGACTATACACAAACACTGTGGTCCTACAGGACTATACACAAACACTGTGGTCCTACAGGACTATACACAAACACTGTGGTCCTACAGGACTATACACAAACACTGGGGTCCTACAGGACTATACACAAACACTGGGGTCCTACAGGACTATACACAAACACTGTGGTCCTACAGGACTATACACAAACACTGGTCCTACAGGACTATACACAAACACTGTGGTCCTACAGGACTATACACAAACACTGTGGTCCTACAGGACTATACACAAACACTGTGGTCCTACAGGACTATACACAAACACTGTGGTCCTACAGGACTATACACAAACACTGTGGTCCTACAGGACTATACACAAACACTGTGGTCCTACAGGACTATACACAAACACTGGGGTCCTACAGGACTATACACAAACACTGTGGTCCTACAGGACTATACACAAACACTGTGGTCCTACAGGACTATACACAAACACTGTGGTCCTACAGGACTATACACAAACACTGGGGTCCAACAGGACTATACACAAACACTGGGGTCCTACAGGACTATACACAAACACTGGGGTCCTACAGGACTATACACAAACACTGTGGTCCTACAGGACTATACACAAACACTGTGGTCCTACAGGACTATACACAAACTCTGTGGTCCTACAGGACTATACACAAACACTGTGGTCCTACAGGACTATACACAAACACTGTGGTCCTACAGGACTATACACAAACCAGGTGTACGGGCTACCCAACACACACACAAACTATACTAACCAAGCATAGTATTCAACACCATAAATGCTGGAGATTGTATTACCGAGTAGTGCAATCGTGTAGTGTAGTATATATTTACGTCCTGGTTTCCGGACGGGTGCATGGCAATATAGGAATTCCTATAGCGAACGGCATTTATACAATAAACATTTGCATAAAAATTATCCACCATGTCACGGTTTGTGTTCCTGGTGGGGACCCTCGATGTAAGTGTCGCTTTCAGTAGTTTTTCTAATATCCTGCAAACCCATTTTTTTATTTTTGTTTGGGGGGGGGGGAATGAAATATATTTTAGGAGGGAAATAAATGTAATGATTATGCAATGTTAATGGGGATATTTTTTTTACAGTAGCCGAGGTATTGTATAGACAGACATTCGATAGGTCAATGTCGTTTATATATTTTGGCTTTGTTGGAATAGATTATGTTGTTTTAGGTTTAGCAAAGTTCTCCCTGTTGAATTGACATTTGCCGAATTTATTTCACTGCAACAGAAAACGAAATTTTCTGTGTCTTAATAACAAAATGACGAACGAAGCAATTATCCCTAGAGTTAATGCCTTGATTGCCAATTAATCAACCAAACTTTAATTACATCTGAACAGTTACGATCCAGTTTTTTTCGGGGGAGGAGGGAGGGGGGGGGGGAAAGGGTGGAAGTTATTAAAAACGAGATGGTCTATCAACCTCTGGAGTGTTGTTTATATATATATATATATATATATATATTAGTATACTTTGGTAGCAGTCTTTCTTGTAAACATATGTTGTTGAATATGACCGAAAAAGGTAAGATTAATAATTCTAACACGAATCTTCGACGACGACGTTGGTCTCCTTCAAAGCGTTCTGTTTGGTGTCTGGAGAGTTTTTCATGAGTAGATTGGCTTTTTTTTTTTTTTTTGTTATTGTAGTAAATTGTCAATTGTATTTTCTGGGTTTTGTCTGTAGGGATTACGTTCCTATTAACAATATCTTTCAGGACACTTTCCTCCATTTTATGAGCCGTCGAAAAGAAGTTCCTGTAAAATAGTCTAATAGGGGGTACAGGTGTTGTGTTAGTTGACTCTTCAGAGGTTGCATGGCGTTTCACCTTTCTTTTTATGACGTCTTCAACGTAACCGTTAGAGAAACCATTGTTGGCTTTGTTGGCTAGGACCTGCCTTACCTTACAGTTCTTCATCGACTTGCTTCCATCCTGAGCTGTGGCTGAGAGCACGGTCGACGTAAGCGTTGGCAACACTCCTCTTGTACCTGTCTGGGCAGTCACTGTTGGCATTGAGGCACATTCCTATGTTTGTTTCCTTAGTGTAGACTGCAGTGTGGAAGCCTCCGTTCCTTTCCGTGATTGTTACATCTAGAAAGGGCAGCTTCCCATCCTTCTCCATCTCGTAAATAAAACTCAACACAGAATTCTGCTCGAATGCCTCCTTCAGCTGCTGCAGACGTCTGACATCAGGTACCTGCATAAAAATGTCGTCAACATGCCTGCAGTATATGGCGGGTTTCAAGTCCATGTCAACTAATACCAAGTTTATTCCATCCAGCGGTCGACCCCAAAGACGCATTCATCAATGGAACGCAATTCATGCTGTTTATTCAAAATAAGAATTCTCAAATATTAATTAATATTGTTATATACTAGAATATTGGGCATATTTAGGCACTGGTTAGGTTCTGTTGACGATTATTTGTATATGTAGTACGTGGGTGAAGCATTTACAACGTTGTGGTTCGAACAGGGGTCGTCAGCGAAGCACCCTTTCCGGAAGTGTTCGGACGTCATCAGTTGTGAATCGTGTGTATATTACTTTTCATTCATAAACAGAGAGTTTGGCGGATGTATGGAATAGACATTGGCCTTTGTTTATGAGGCCGGGCTGTAAAATCATTTTGAGGCAATGGAGTGACACGAACCCGAGTTCTGGTTAATCCCAGACACTGGCCCTAACCGACTTCGCCATGATGGTACAATCATCACCCAACCCGGAGCTCTACTGAATTCACTGGCAGGTTCTGGAAGCCTCAATCCGGAGCCCAACCAGAGTTTTTACAGTCGCCCCGACCACACTCTGGCTCACGATAATGGTGCTCACACTCTCACGCCCCTCCACTTGTGCTCCGGTCACAGCCCAAACACTTGGAGAATGTCATCAGTAGTTGGCCTACGGGAAACTTCGAAATAAGTATACAGGCTTTCTGTCCCCCCCTCCCCCCCCGTCCTCTATGGGAAACCACAATGCGTTTGATTTGTTGTTCCTTTTGAATTCCCAGCACACACGAGGCCACCACAGCGCTGTAACAAGGTACACAATACAGCACACTGTAAACTGATAGTACTCACAACAACAGTTTGGTCAAACAGTAACAATGTGTACTGTGGGATCACGCAATACATACGTTTCATGCTATTATTTTTGTAGAGACCGCCCCCCCCCCCCCCCCCCCCCCGAAAAAAAAAAATCTAACAAAACTTAACCTTTCTTAGGCTTAAGACACTTAAATGTATTATATCAGGCCTAAGAAATCGTATATCAGACTATATGTCCAGTTGTCCTAACATGCCACAATGGGCTCATTCAACACTACGCAACTGGAGCGTTTTGGGGTCCAACAATACATACTTGGTGCGCTTGACCAAGTCCTTACTCTAATGCTATCATTCCTAGGCGATGGGTTGAGAGCACACGTTCGAGGCTACGATCTGTGTCGGCTGGGTCGCTGGGGCTGGGTCGCTGTGGCTGGGTCGCTGTGGCTGGGTCGCTGTGGCTGGGTCGCTGGGGCTGGGTCGCTGGGGCTGGGTCGCTGTGGCTGGGTCGCTGTGGCTGGGTCGCTGGGGCTGGGTCGCTGGGGCTGGGTCGCTGGGGCTGGGTCGCTGTGGCTGGGTCGCTGTGGCTGGGTCGCTGGGGCTGGGTCGCTGGGGCTGGGTCGCTGGGGCTGGGTCGCTGTGGCTGGGTCGCTGTGGCTGGGTCGCTGTGGCTGGGTCGCTGGGGCTGGGTCGCACCGACGTGGTCGCTCCTTGCTGTGAGCACCAAAGCTCACTCACGCGGCTCCAAACCATTAAAAAAGAGATCCCTGGGGATACTACTCTACACCAACCCCCAGCCCGGGGGGAGGGGGAAACGAGACGCTGCTCGATGCACAGGAAGCTGTTTGGTGCGTTGCTGAGCCACAGCAACCTTCCTTGTCTCCCAGTCCTCCCCATCATTCCCCCCTCACTCGTCTCCTCGTCCTCCCCACCATTCCCCACTCCACCATCCCCTCTTCCTTCCCACCATACCCCACTCCCCTGTCCCTTTGTCCTCCCCACCATTCTCCGTTCCCTCCATCCCAAACTTCCCCGTCCCCTCGTCCTTCCCCACCATTACCCCCCTCCTTTGTCCTCTCATTCTCCCCCACCATCTCTCTCTTCCGCTCCCTCGACATCCTCACCATTCCTCACTCCCTCGTCCAATGCCTACCCAAATGGTCTGATCTTCCCATCAGAAAACTGGGAACATCAAGTGATCTGATGTTCCCATAATTTTAATATAAGAAAGAGTTACAAAATGAAATGAAAAAAATAAAAAATATATAAAAATAAACTATACTCGTGAAATGAACGGTATGGTAAACAACACGGCTCAATTCCAACACAATGTCACACAAAATAATTCAATAAAAAATATAATAAATCAAAATCTCAAAATCAATGAAAATAAAATTTATCATTGCAATCGGAAACATTGAAATGGAATTCGTGACGTATTTAGTATAGCGTGCATGTTGCTATTATGTACAACAGATGGCACTGTTTTTCAAAAACGCATGTTTTTACCTAACACAGGGGTGGCATCTATATAGTAGGTATATAAAACCACGTGCCTATTTGAATGCAACGTTGTCAAAAATTCAAAGCAATCGGCAAAGAAGTTACGAACATTTTCGTCTCATGAAAAACACACAAAAAAAAGTTTTTCAGAAAAAGCATGTTTTTTTTTACCGTCACAGACGTGACATCTATGAAGTATGTATATATAACAACCTGGCCGGATGCGAGTGGAACGTTGTGTGAAAATTTCAAAGCAATCGGTGAAGAACTTTCGGAGATTAGTGATTTTGAACAAACGAACATTTACATTTTTATTTATATA